ATTTTTGGAGAATAGAAAATAAATTTTACTACCCTCAAAAAAAGTTAAGAGGGGTTGAAGTTGAAAAATTTAGAAAATTATTTTTGTTAAATAAAAACATATTTAATTGTACCTAAAAACTTTCAAAAGGCGCTATGGATTTACAAAACGAAAGCTTTATATGAATCGTATTTGTGCCAAAGTAATTTTTGGAGAATAGAAAATAAATTTTACTACCCTCAAAAAAAGTTAAGAGGGGTTGAAGTTGAAAAATTTAGAAAATTATTTTTTAAACCAAAGATGATATAGTAATTCTACTTAAACTATTTAATTATATCACCTATTCTAAGTAATCATACAAAGTTTCATTGAAATGTGATGCACAATTTGGAAGATATGATTATTTTTGTCAAATAAAAACGTATTTCTTTATACCCAAAAACGTTCATATTCGTAGTTTCAAATAGTCTTATAACTTTTAAAATACACTATGGATTTTTTGTCGAAAAAATAAATAATTATTTGTATCCAAAAACGTCCAAATTCATTGTTTCAAATAGTCTTATAACTTTCAAAAGACTCTATGATTTTACAAAACGAAAGATTTATATAAAGCGTATTTATACTAGAATAACTACCACCAAAAAAAAAATTAACAGTTAAATAATTTTCATAATTATCTTTTAAACCTGAGGTGACAAACTAATTCTTCCTGGGCTATTTCATTATTTAGATTATTCTAAGTAATCGTACAAAATTTCTGTTGATTTTTCTTTGTATCATATTTTATGCTGGAATTATCTTTTGTAATTTTAAAATTATTTTAGTGCTTAACTTAACGAATTCATAAATTTTGTTTTATTGTAGATTTCTTTGTTCGCTCTGTAATTTTTCGTATATTTTATATGTGTGTCTTTGGAGAGGGGTTTTCGGTCGGAGGAGGCATTTACATTTACGGATTATCTGCGGCACGGATGAAGATTAGCGCGAATTAATTTCGCCCGTTTAATTCATTTGATTCCCTCGCGCTCCGACGAATCTGCGTGTACCGGAGAGAGAGCGAGATAGAAACACACAGCGAGAGAGAGTGCATAGCAAATGAGGTAAATTAATTGGAAATTGAGTGCACACTAAAACCGGTAATAACAAGGAGGAGGGTCGTCGCAACTCCACGCAGTAGCAAAGAGGGAGGAATAATAAAATAAATAGAGTAATTTTTGATGGGGCGTAGGATGGAGAGGGCTGTGGGGGAGTGTGGATGGACACGTCTCTATAATCAAATTACCGACATAATCTTTTGATCCTTCGATAATTTGATACCCCCTTCGAAACTCCTGATGGGAGCATTTCGGGAATAATAAATGTTAAACCGGTGATTTTCTCCATTTTTTTTCACTTTTTCCCTCCCGCTTTTTGACGGTCCCTGCGGTCATTTCGATACTGCAATTTGAGAGGGTGCCCTGTAAATGGACAGAAGGGAAATGTAAATGTTCTTTCATGTCTCATATCGTCCCTAAATCCCTAACCGCAGCTCGTAATCAATATTATATTTAGACTGCTCATCAATATTAATACCAGACTTTGAACTTGAATCGATGAAATCAATTAGATAAATGGGTATAAGCGCCTAGATTGGACCACTGTCGTAATTAGACGTTGATTTGATCCATAATAACCAAGAGTAATTAACATAAGTTGTCAAAATTTTAAGTTTTCTATTGCAAATAATTTGAACACATATAATTTATTATTTTACTATTTAGTTAATTCTTATATAAGTAACAAAATATATTTTTGTAAAGTACTCTATTTTAAGTACAATTTACTATAATAGTTTAAAAATGAGATTGGGAGAGATATATTCAATTATTAGTCAAAGTTGCCACATGGAGTTGCCTTTATTGAATCTATAATGAAAAACAATGTATTTGTATTACTTGTCATCATTATTGGTACCAGACATAGAATTTCAATTTGGTTAAATTAGTTAGATAAAAGTAGACTAACGCCTAGGTTGGACCACTATAGTTATTTGACCTGCATAAGGATTATTACCAATAGAATAACCAGCATAGATTGTCAAAATATTAAGTAGAAAACTTGCATTAAGTTCAATACGTACAATTTGTGTTTTGGCAGTTAAGACTAAATTATTTTACTCTTTAGATGATTCTAAAATAAGTAGCAAAATATGTCATTCTATCCTTATAAAGTACTCTTATTTAAGTGTTAAAGTTGCCTAAACTGGACCTGTCAAATTGGAGGAAAAATTGCAATAAGTCAGTTTCTTTAAATCTATATACAAGTGAAAAAACTATTTTATTTTAAGTATTTTATACATTTATTTTTATTCTTCAAATATTCCCTAAATAATGTAAATAATTGGTTCAAATGTATCAACTCCCTCTATTATTGGCGAAGTTGATTTCTTTTTGACAGTTCATCATTATTGATACCAACATAATATGTTTCTTTGAGTAGGTGAAATCAACCATTGTATGTATGTGATCAGATCAACGTTTTATTGTTGACAGCTCTGATAATTTTAATACCGACCTTACGTGAATATATTTTGAGTAGGTGAAATCAAACGCATTTGCCTATATTGGATCTGTTAAATTGGAGGGAAATTTGAAAGTTGAATTAAAAATTGGTTTCTATACATCTGTATTATTTTCCACAATTCTTAAATTCAAATGCATTTCCCTGAATGCAAATGCAACAACTCTCTCTATTATTAGAAAAGATGATTTATTTTTGACACCTCAGATAATATTGATACAACTCTTACGTGAATTTATTTTGAGTAGGTGAAATTTTCTCATTTTCCATCCCTTTGAAGTAAAAAGTGAACAAGTGAAAAAAAAAAAAAGATATAATTTTAAGTATTTTCCACACTTCTTAAATCCAAATATATTTCCCTAAATCCAAATACATCAAACTCCCTCTATTATTGGAGAAGATGATTTATTTTTGACATCTCATCATTATTGATACCAACTTTACGTAAATATATTTGAGTAGGTGAAATCAATCGTTGCTACGATCAACGTTTTATTTTTGACAGCTCTAACAATATTGATACCAACCTTACGTGAATGTATTTTGAGTAGGTGAAATCAACGATTATTAGGTAAGAGGATCGTCATTGTTATCGGTCGGCGGTGCTTCTGATGATGAATCGGCCGTAAGTTACAAATGTTACGGCTTACACTGCTTTATATTCCGACCTGCAAATACGGGAATTTATTCAAATGTTTGAGGAGGGGTAGTAATTTTTTTGAATTTTCGTATGGGGCTTTCGTTTAGAGCTGGTTTTTTTCCGTTCTCTTCCCTCCGCAAAAGCAGAGGGAAAGGAATAAGTACGTATGTGGAATGCAAACGAGATAGACAATCCAATATTGAAAACGAGCGGTTTGGCACATGGGAACGAAGAGGGGTGAAAAAAAATATATATATGGTGGGGTGGAGAACAAGAAGAATACCGCGGTACGGAAAATCGCAAATCCTTTTAGATTTTTACCTTGCCAACGGCTCCCCATTTGCATTTTCACTTGCCGACGGGTTGTAGATGAAGGAAGGAGGGTTGAGGGTGTTTTTTTCTCTTCCTTTTATTGCCCAACATCTGCGTGCAAAGGAGAGAGACGCGAAATAATGACGAGACGTAAGTTCTTGTATACGTGTGTACAGAAGGGTGCGTTTCATTTTGGGGGGGGTAGAAAATGCATGTACGTAATGTGAAAACACCAATCGAGGAAATCTCATAAAATATATCAAGAGACCTAACGATTTCCATTCGCGCTTCTGTTTTCCCTTTTTC